GAGTTTAGATAAATTAGGATGCTTTATGTTCTGTTAGCCTGGGTCAAGAATAGCAAGACCTTTGAAGCCAGGGAGTTCTGGAGTTGAATCTTGGTCAACTGGTGGCTGACTGATGGCTAAGATTCTATATGGTAGAAAGGCATTACCTTTTATCATTGTCACTATGAGGAAGAGATGGATTGCACTTTGAAAAGAGTCTGTAAACTAAAGCTCCTTTCATAGCCCCATCTCCAACCAGATGAAGACATTCATGAAAGCTTTAACCAAATGTGGAAGTTGATGAGAAGACATTTCCCCAAGGCTGTCCTTGCTCCCTTGTATCTACTGTCTCATCTCTGAGGTGTTCTTAGTGGAAAGCATTGAACTTGCCTCCCTGCCTGCTCCTTCCCTGTTGAGTGGCAATATGATTGTGTGAAATCAAGCACACCCTACTTCCAGGGATATAATGATTCTTGCTTCTATGGTGAATCATTGTGGCCCACTGCCAACGAAGCCCCATTACACGAAAGTAGATGAACGGTTTGGTGCATAAGAGGTGATACATGGGAGAGAAGTGGTGGATGAAGGTACCACTCAGGCAGAGCCACAAGAACAAAGGAATTCATGAAACTACCACTGAAAACTACCCTAAGGCTTTTCTTGTTAGTGGGTGGCCCAGTGAATTCCCTTTATGAAGTCAGTGTGTGTCAAAATCATCCCAAGGGATGTGTTAGCCAGATTTCTGACCCTGTGCCCAGGTCCATGCTGCTGTCATTGGGATCATCTGTGGCTTTTTCATCAGCAAATCAATGAGGTGTTTCCAAGTTCTTCCGTTGGCTCAAAGTGAGAGTTCTTAAACAGATACACTCTAAATGTGAAATGACAGTGTTTTTCTTTTTTGATATTGGGCATTCTATGAAGCCTAGACTCACATTGACTGTGATCCTCCTGCCTCAGTTTCCTCTGTGCTGGAATCACAGCAGCACCACACCAGGATTATTATTTTATAAAAATGAAATTATTAAAAAGCAAAAAAAATATTAAAAATAAGGGAAGATTTAAAAATTATGTATTAATTTAAGGAGTTGCCAGTCAATAAATTTTTTTATTATTAATATTGGCATAATATATTGACTAAATATTATATATAACCACATATTTTGATTATTTATTTATTTAGAAACAGGGTTTTCATGTAGCCCCAGCTGGCCTAAACTCACTATGTAGACCAAGCTGGCCTTGAACTCACAGAGAGCCATCTGCCTCTGCCTCCTGAGTGCTGGGATTAAAACCAATCTAGGTTTCCCTCATGAAAGGATACATTTAACTTAATGATTTCCAGTTGCATCCACTTTCTTGCAAATTTCATGAATTCATTTTTTATGGTGGCATTAAATTTTATCGTGTATATATACCACATTTTCCTTATCAATTTATCTGTTGATGAACATGTAGGCTGGTTCCATTTCCTGGCTATTGGTGACTATTTGAAGACTGCACCTGTAAACATGGATGTGAAACAATCTCTGGTGGCGCTGACTAGAGTTGTTGGGTATGTAGGCAGGAGTGGTCTAACTGGGTCATATGGTAATTCTATTTTCAGTTTTTTGAGGAAACTCTGTACTGATTTCCACAGTGACTGTACAAGTTACACTCCCACCAACAGTGAATAAGCTTCCTCTACCCACTTCCTTGCCGTATGTTTTCATGATGAGAGCCATTCTGATTGGGGTGAGATGGAATCTCAAAGAAGTTATAATTTGCATTTCCCTGACAGATGAGGATGTTGAACATTTTAACAAGGTATCTGTTGCTCATTTTTAGAGAAATATATTTTTTGTTTGTTTGCCAAAAAAGCCCCTTGTGATTATGGTCAGTGCTGTCTGCTAATTGATGTGATCAGTGCTATCTATTAACTGATTTGATCAGTGCTGTCTACTAACTGATTTTATCAGTGCTGTTTATTAACTGATTTGATCAGTACTCTCTACTAACTTTGGATTTGGAGTTTCCTCCCAGGCATGTGGTAGACTATCATTTTCATTAGTGTTAGATGAGGAGATGCAGCTTTCTTTGGTTAATAAAATGTAGACAAAATACTGTTTGTTACATCTACACAGCACTTTAAGAAGTGGTGCAAAATTTACCACTAACTTGTTTCCCTGCCATAGTGAAGGGCAGAGCTCAAAGTGGCAGTTACTCTAGCAGCTAAGGTCTTGCAGTAAGGTCAGTTGGAACAGAGACCCCATTGGGACACCATGATGCACTTTCAAAGGCAGGCCATGGAATTCGAGGGTTGTTCAGTACCACAGGTTATCTTCACCTCGTTTACTTCACATGACAAGGTTCAGTCCTGAGCCATCATCTTTTATCTCCCAATTTTTCCAGTATACCTTCATATATTTCCTGGATTGACCTGAGGTCACCAAACTCTCAGTTTTATCTTTTTTTTTAAACTCTGCATTCCCTTATTAAATGGCCTATTAATGCATTTACTTGGAGATCTCCCAGGAATTTCTAAATCTGAAAATTAAGTTGATTCCTCCTGACTCATCTTTTGCACACAAGAATGCTTACCTAGTCTTCCCCAGACTATTGACAACACTGTAATCTGAGAAGCTGTTCAAAGCAGAAGTCTAGGATTTTTTTTCTAGCTTCTTATCCTCAGAACACTTTAGCTCATCTATTATAAAATATGAATGAATGATGCAAGAATCTGGTTCAAATGCAGCTGTCTCTGTCCCCTCTGGGGTACTCTGTCCTTGCTACCTTCGTCGGTTAACTGTGTAGCCAGTTAATCTGCATTTCAGTTCCCATCGTCTCCATCCCCTCCCTGTTCTCTAGAGGTAGAATAATCATTCACAATTCATGATGGATCATATTACTTCTGTCTTTAAGATTCCTTCAATCTATAATTCAGAAGTAATGTAAGAGCTGACGGATGAAGAAGGGAACTTTGAAATGCTGACCTCTGGGCGTCAACTCATAGCACCTGGGGTTACCTGCCCAAGAAGGAATCGGTCAAAACACCAGCCCGAATGGGGGAGGGGCCTCTGAGTCCCTATCTTTGGAAGAGGAGCTACGATCTACCTCCTCCTGTTGATCCACCTGGGTATATGAACTGGTCCCTTTCCTTTGTGCACATGGCCTCTGGTAGATGGGGCATGCTCTAATGGATGACTACACCCCCATGTGTATATGGACAGCACAAATTAGACTCAGGAGGATATTAATAACAACCAATAAAGGAGGACATGAAGTTGGGAGGGAAATAGGGTAGGGGAGCTACAGGGAGTTGGAGGGAGGTAGATATGAGCAAAAAGACATTGTATAAATGTATGAAAATCTCAAAAAAATTATTATTTAAAAAGGGGGAATTGGAATGTACATCTGAAAGGCCTTGGATAACTTGGTTCTGCCTTACATCATCTTAGCCCACATCCCTCAGCGCTCTAAGGAGGGACACTTCTTTCAGCTCCTGCATATGCCAAGATTTTTTTAGGCGCTGTACTTCAATGGTAATTTTTTGTTGTGTTATAGTTATTTACCGCCTCCTGTTGAGCCACCTGGGTGTATGAATTTAGATACATTTTCTTCCATTGTTATCTACAGAAACCTTTTGTAACCAACTGAACTAGCAAACTCTTTTCCAATATCATTCTCTCTTACCACCCTGTCATTTAAAAAATAATACCATTATCATTTTAGTTATATACTAATTGTGAACATTTGTCTAGTTTATTTTCCTCACTAGACAAAAATAGTTGAGTGAGTTAATTGTGTTTCCTGCTCTGGTCTCTGCCTTATGTTTGTGATAGTGTCAGGCATTTGAGTGAATCAATAAAAGAAAGTATTCAGTACAGTGGAAGATGTATTACTTATGGGGACTGGGGAGATGGCTCAACAGTTAAGAGCACTGTCTGCTCTTGCAGAGGACCACGGTTCAGTTCCCAGCACCCACACAAACAACTGTTCATAAATCCAGTTTCAGGGGTTCTGACATCCTCTTCTGACCTATGAGGGCCTTGCACAACAGGGGTGTACTAACATACATGGAGACAATATACTCATACACATAATTTTTAAAAATGTATAACAAAGTGGTCATTCAATCAGACTATGCATGCAAACTATCTGATCCAGGAACTCCCAGGTACAAAATGAGAAGTTGGTATGTGAAATCTGCTCTCTATGGCTGGCCGGGAATACCAATGAAGAAGTGAAGAGGTGACTGAACCAGAAAGCAGTTTGGTTTCCCCACATGCAAGGTTATGAAAGGGATTAGCTGACATGCTAGATGGGCAGCCTTCAATGTTTGAGGCGCCTACTCCCTCCATTTGTCTGGAATCAGTTCCACAGGACAGCTACTGTCCTACCTCCTTCTTTACATAGTGTCCTGAGCAGCCTCGATTGTCAGCTTGACACAGCCTACATCTTCTGAGAGGAAAGCCTGGATTGAGCAATTGCCTAGATTTAGATTGGGCGTGTCTGTGGGGTACTGTTTGATTATTAATTAGTGCAGAAAGCACAGCCCGCTTTGGGCCGCACCATCCTTGGGCAGGTGGCCCTGGACTGTGTAAGAAAGCTAGCTGAGCATGAGCCTGTGAAGGAGCCAGGTAGTGAGCCTACAAGAAGTGTTCTCCGTGGTTTCTGCCTCCAGGTTCCTGCCGCCAGCTCCAGTCCTGACTTCCCTTGGTGATGGCTGGAACCTGGACATGTAGGCCAAACAGAACCATTTCCTCCCCAAACTGCTTTTGGTCAGAGTGTTTTATCACAGCAACAGAATAAAACAAGGACAGATATTGAAAGAAAGTTTATAATATCTGTAAGGCAAAAATAAAGGTTTTGTCTGTGCAGAGCTTAGTAGAGAGTATGTGACAGTCATATGCCCCACCCATGACGTATATGACTCTATCATGCCTACTGGCTGATCACCTGTTAAATGCTAGTATACAGTGTGGTCAGTGTTTTGAGCATGAATTACTCTAGGAAGCAAGGAATTTTTAAAAAATAAAGCTCTTTATTCAATAATAAAACACCCACCGGGCTGCATCCCCTCACCTACTGCAATGAATATTTCTCACTGCTGTGCAATGTAACCCAGAAGCAAGTGCAGCAGCTCGGACAACACTCTGTGGCACATTAAGAATGACGTCTGCAGGGCTCCTCTTGGACCCACAGCACACGCAGGAACAATTAATCATCCAGACACATGATAAATTAGTGCAAAATGATTAGACTACTTTGCAGAGTTCATATCTGTCTTCTCATTGCAATCAGCACAGTAACCAGCTGTTACTCTTCAGTATGTGGGTCACCTTCCTGGCGTTAGGGTCAAACTCGAACTGCAGTGACCCGTGGAAGAAATAGAGAAACCCTGTAAACACAGAAGAAGATGGTGAAATATTCTTCAAATAAATCAAACTTATGACATGCATAGAGATAAAGGGAATGAGATGGAACTGGATGCTGTGTGTTAAGTGATGTCTGTGCCAGGCACTGAGCTGAAACTAAACATTTTGAAAAATTAAAAAATTTCCAAGGTAATGCTATGTTGTCTCTGACTGTGAAGTCAGTATGCTAAAATATTAGTATACACTGCTTCTGAGATGGGCTCTATAGTACTTCAGGGTGGTAGGGTTTCCTCCTTTCTTTCCAACTTCTCCTCCGTCAACTAGATCTTAAATCATATCTTGAGAGGCCCCTGGACCCACGAGAATCAGATCAGTGAAAAAACTCACCACAGGCTCATTTCCTGTTTTGCGTACATTATGGTCAAGTTGTTTTAGCACTAAGGTCAGCAATCTCATGAGCACCAGGACGGACGCCCTGGCAGTTCCCTCAGAAACGCTCTCAGAGAGAGCAAACATTTTGTTTTCCCATAAACTGATTATAGGAATCAAGTTTTGTCTGTTTTGAGAAGGTACTCCTAACTTTTTACTAATGACTAATGTAGACAGTTTCAGATTGCAACAGAAGCCCAGACCAGGCCCGTGGATGGGACACGAGAGAAGGGACAGAAGGCTGGGGTAGAGGAGAATGAAATTCAGCCACTAGCAAACCCAGCTCACACTGGATAGTGATCCGGAAGACAGTGGCTTCAGTGTGAGGATGCTTAATAGCAAAAGTTCGAAGAGTCCAAAACGTAGTTCACTTCACTTTGATCCATAAATTGCCCCAGATACCCCCACTAGGGATGAAATGAGGATCCTCTTACCAAATTCCTGTAACACAGCATCGACTTGTGGTTCAACTCCTGGAAAGTCATCAGCTATCAGCCTTGGAAAGCCTCTATCCATAGACTGCTTCATTTCATCAAATCTGCATCAAGTAAAAGAAATTCAGCTCAAACCCACACAAATCCCATTGTACAGGGCAGTACTCTGGTGTGGCATTCTAGATAACCTCTTCAAGTTGTGCAATATTGGATATGTTTTTAGGGACTATGGTAATATGTGACCTTCCTGGGATTGTAAGCCTCTCTCGTAGAACAATATAGGCACATCATGCTGCATTCTGTGGAAGTTCCATATCTGTACCTAAGGTCAATTTTCTAGGCTTGGACACACAGGAATCCTAGTATCTACCTGTCAGAAATATACAAAGAGTATATGCAAAGGAGGAGAAAGTAAGTCTAGTCATTTGGCTAAAAATAAACTGGTTGTCTAACATGACAAGACTGTAGACCTTGTCTCTGAAGTCTGCTACACCGGCTTTGTGTGGCAGTCCTGTTATGAGTGGTAAGGGCCTGAGAAGATGCTGTGATCTCAGGTGGTCATGCCTGACGTCCTCTGGTGTCCAGATTTATGGTCTGTGACCCATACTGGGAATGTTCTTTGTATTCAAGAAGTTGAACCACCATGTTATCTTTTTGTAATCAGAAAATTTGAAGTTTGAGAAAATTAGATGGTGGGTAGGTAGCCTTAAAGAATGAAAAAACAGATTTCCACAATTAGGCTCCCAACAAAGTCATTTTCACGGCATCTCACCTCCAGTACTTGTTGTCTACAAAGAAGAAAGTCTTCTTCGTCTCCTTATCAGAAATGGCTGCGTCAATTTTCTTCACAGTGGGAGGAAACCCGAGAGTGTGGATATCTTTTGGATAACCTGCTTGGACCTCATTTCCACGGACTGCCCAGACCTTGTTTCCTGTTGGCAAAATGAGCCCAAGAAATTTCAAATGAAGTTATTTGGTTTTAGAGAGAATGGTGAATTGTTATGCTGAAGATGACATCTTGACTTTTATTGCTTTTATTTTCTTTTGTCTTTTGAAATTTTTAATTTAATTTGACTTAATTTCTTGACATAGAGTATAGCCCAGGTGGGTCCTGCCTCAGCCTTTCAAATGCTGAGATTGTCATGACACCTGGCTCAGTCTTCATTTTAATTCCAAACACTAACTGAATGCTTTGTCCCTAGATGGTGTTTAAAAAAAATATTCCTTGGCTAGACGTGGTGGTGCATGCCTTTAATTCCAGTATTCCCGGAGGCAGAGGTGGATATCTGTGAGATCCCGGTGTGCCTGATCTATATAGTCAGCTCCAGGCCAGCCAGGGCTATACAGTGAGACCCTGTCTCAAGGAAAATTTTCCTGAATGAATAAATGATAGATGAAACAAATGAATGAGTAGATTCACTGTTCTTTCTGTGTCTTTTATTTATTCTCTATAAATTATTGTAACCATTTCTAGTTATTTCTTGTAATTGCTGGTGACCTCTTAACCTATATTTGTAACTTAGACTTCCCTCCCTAGATTCAAAGTGGTACGTCAGTTTTATTTTTATGTTTGTAATCATCAACTCATCCATCGATGCTTCTTCCAATGTACCATCTGAAGTTTAATATAACGGAGAAAACCCATACTGTGAAAATTTTACAATAGACTTTATTTCAACAATTTTTGAAAAATTATGCAGTCCTTACCTTTAAACATAAAAACAGTATCCCTGCTATGAGCTTCATAGGCAGCATCCAAGTCTGATGGGAGAGATGGCCAAAACACTGAAATCAAGTGAAGTTCAGGCTGGGAATTCCAGTGGACTTTTCGCCAGAAGTACCTGTAAGGCACAAAACGTACTTGAAATCGTCTCTCTCCTTTGATAAACATAATAATAACAGCACAGAGGCACGACTGTGTGAGAAAAGAAACACAGTCCTCCTTCAGTCAATGTTAATCAACCCCTTTGCGGAAGTCTGTATTAGACTGTATTGTGGGATTCCAGGGTAATAGAGATGTCCAGGGTGGCAGGCCTGTCAACTAATTCCAATAAGGTTATTCAGCTAGATTCTACTTGAAAGTCTATAAAGTAGCTGGGTGTGGTGGCGCACACCTTTAATCCCAGCACTTGAGGGGCAGAGGCAGGCTGATCCCTGTGAGTTCAAGGCCAGCCTGGTCTACATAGTGTGTTCTAGGACAGCTGGGGCTACAGGGAGACCCTGTCTCAAAAAGACCAAAAAAAAAAAAAGTCTATAAAGTGTTATGTATAATGTACCCATTCATATTTTTTAATGTTGTGCACCTCTTTATGTAAATAGAAACCTTGGTAAAGGGACAGGAAATTGGTACATTGGGAGCACGGAATGGTGGGCGATGACAGGCCAGAGATGGGAGGAATTTTCCTTGTTATCTTTTGGTAGTATTTGAGTACTGTGCATGAGCATGCATCACTTTTAGTAAATATCACTTTTTAGTAAAGATAAAGATACTGTTCTGGTTTGAAAGATCACCAGTGCTTTTATAAGTTCTATGGCTTATGATACATAAAAAGTAAAAAATAAAAATAACAGATAAACCCCTCTGCCTTTATGGATTCTATAGTCTATCGATTTCTTCTGTAAGTCTGTAATGAAATGTTCTGGACAATTCCAAGAAATTGTTAAACATACAGTAAAAACCAGATTTCAATGATTCCAAAACATTCCAGAAACATATTATTTTCAAATCCCAAGTTTAAGCTTATTTTCCTCTCTAAGCATTGCACATCAGAAGAGTCTCCAGGGAAATACAGTTTGTGGTCTGACCTGTCTTTGAAGAACAGGAGCTCTCCCCTCAGGGTGCTGATTGCGTCGAAGGACAAAGTGGGATCACACTTGGCTGGCATTTCAGGTCTTCTTGGGGGGACAGATGACATGGGCACCATGAGGACATCAGGGGAGGGAGGAGGGGGTCCTAAAGGGAATAGTTAGGGGGCACAAACATTAGGAGAACTGAAATGTATCTACTAATTAATACACTTTCAAGCTTCTTCAAAGTATTTTAAGATGAAACAGCGTGCAGCCCTTCAAAGCCTTCCTGGGGCTGTGGAGGTGGTCCAGCAGGTGAAGGCGCCTGCCACCAGCGTGCCACTAAGCCTGATGATCTGAGTTTGATCCCTGGGATCCACATGGTGGAAGGAGAGAACTGACTCTCCAAGTTGGCCTCTGACTTTCACATATGTGTCATAGCAGGCAGATGTGCATGCATACACATGGATACAACAGATGCACACAATAAATATAAAATGTAGTAAAAATAAAGCTTTCCTGAACACCAAATTGTACAACTTTCCTAAATAGCACTGGAAAAAAGTAGGCTTTGTTTTCTTCATAGCTCACCATAGAGGGACTGAATGCCAGCGATATCATCCTGAGAAAGTAGCAACTGGGCTGGGTTTGTGGAGAACTTGTAGACTGGATACATCAAAGCTTCAGGGTTGTCAGAGTGGAAGAGACCCAGAGAGTGGCCAAATTCATGAGCAGCAACCAGGAATAAATTGGTCCCTATTTGGGAAACCATAAATGTTCAGATCTAACAGTTATTTTCCACAAATATGCATATATCACTCACACCGACCACACAGGGCAGCCTGTATCACATGTTCTCTTTTCCTTGTTTGTGTGTTCATTGATTGGCATATTCCATACTTGATAGAAACTCACGTTTTTCAAGGTTGACTTAAAGTCAATGTATGAGAGTTTTTCACTAGATCACTCTCTAGTTTTCTCCTTGGTCAAAAAAAGCTAGGTCACTTTTCCTGGTCAACAGTGGTAACTGTTGTTTCTAAAAGATATTTCTTTGACAAGATCAAGATTAATCATATGCCAATAAATGTCAACCTTCATTGTCTAAAAATCATAATCATTCTTAAGGCTTAGTAACAAACCAGATTTAACCACTTTAAATTAGTCACAAGCTATTTATGTATTCCTCAAGCTCTTAACCAACAACCAAAGGATGGTGATTTTCTATCACCATAATCATCTTCAGTTGTTCAAAATCTCCCTAAGAGTAATGGGGATACATGGTTCACAGTACATTTTATACTTGCATAACATTGTCAAAAACTAAATTTAGAGTCTTGTCTCATCTGTGTGTTTAGAAAGTGGCAGGGAGACCTCTATATCTCGGGCTAGGGATAACACAAGCAGTATAGCCCAGGACAGGATGTAGTAACAGAGGCTTGTTGTCAGATGGAAGTCAACTTACAATACAGAGTAAGGTACAGGCTAGCCTGAGCTACATAAAGAAACCCTGTCTCAAAATATATAAGCAATAAAAAGTCTTTTTCCTTGGTGAAAAAAGCTAAATTAAAAAAAAAAACCATAACAAAAAGCCTTCCAGTTGGGCTGGAGAGATGGCTCAGGGGTTAAGAGCATGTACTGCTCTTGTTGAGAGCCTGAGTTATGTTTCCAGTACCCATGTCAGGTGTCTACAACCACCTGTAACTCCAGCTCTGGGGCATCCAGTGTCCACAGGCAGCTTCACTCACTTGCACATGCCCATGAGCACATGTAAACATAACCAAAATTTTGGGAAAAAAAAAAAAGAAAAAAAACAAACAAACCCTAACTTCACAGTAATGCCACAGTAACAAAAACATGCCCATATCAGTTTTCTACAGCACAAACACAGATGAACTAAGCTTTTCCTTATATTATAAAACATTTTATTAGTGGTAATTGTAATTATTTAATCAAGGACTTGAGCAACTAAAGCAAATAACGGTTGTTCAAAAACATATAGATCATCAGGGAGACCCAGTCTCAAAATGACCAAACAAAAATGTAGATCATTTCATGAGGCACACCAGGTCTGTGCACTTAGTAAAGATGGTCTTTGCATTAAACAACTCAGCCAGTCCCAGAAGTAACCATTGTTTCAACAGTCTGTATCCAAACTTCAGAAGCCATTTGGAAAAAGTAAATCAAATGCAGTTCATTCGGTTACTGTGCTTAACTCAGTAAAGTCTTTCAGAAAAAAATTTGGGGTGGGGGAAGCTTTCAAGCTGTCAGCAGTGGCCTGCAGATTCGAACACACAGTTCTCCCGTAGTTCCCTGACCTCCCCCTCACCTTTGGGTTTGAGAGGCAAATGGGAAAGAAGGAACAAAGCCAAGGGCAACTCTAAGGGTCTGAAGTAACTGAATGGAGATCATTGTACAATACTCATTTATAATTAAAACATCGTTATCATAGACAAACCCTCAACAGGAGCCTGAGTTGAGGAAATAAGATGATACGGCACTTACTGTGCTTTATTAAATGAGGGCACAAAAGGAAGCAGACTGGATATAATTCTGCAGTCATGATTAGGTGAAGAGGACTTCTGACTGCCTCACGGTTAAGCAGAAATTGAAGCTAACAGAATGGTCCACCTGAGACTCTTTCTGGATAATCAAATCATTCTTGGATAGTTGAACATTGTATCTGAAATCGTCCTACCTGATGTACCCTGTGTCCATTTTTCATCATCGTCAAAGTGAACATCTCCATAAAATCCAGGCCCAGGTGGATAGGCGTGAGCCAAAATGTGTCCCGGTCCATCAAAATAATGAAAGTCTCCATGTGCTGATGGAGAACAAAACAACCAAACTGTAAGCATTAAGAATTTATTGTCTTTTTTCAGTAAGACAACACCACATTCTCTGGTCTAAATACTGGTGTCTCCTCAAAGCCAGATACTGAAATGTAATCTCTAACAGGATGGGATCAAATGTGGAGCCTTGAGAAGGTGATCAGGTTATGAGGTCTGCATGGATGGGATCAGTGTCTTGATATCAGTAGCTGGAGGAAGCCATGTGAGGTGCCACTTAAGAACAGACTTCATCAGACCGAGTCTGCCAGCACCTTCCTCTTGGACTGCTCAGCGTCTAAAATGTCTAAACTTCTGTTATTTACAAATTACCCAATGTGAGGTGTTTCATTTTAGAAACCTGAACTAACTCAAAGACCAGATGAGTGGATTCATTACTTCATTACCTCCAACCTCAAAGGAGACCATGATGTCAGCCTCTCCTTCATAGATCCTGGAGAACGAGAGCGGCGTCACCTCCTCCCAGACTTTCAGAGCTTTTTCAATGGCGGAATCTACAGCCTCCCTTGGTAAATCCAGAGTGTAGTTCACAATCCTGGATGAGAAAAATTCAAGAAGATAATAATTTGGTGCTGTGATACAGCTTACAAAACTTTAATTGCAAGTGAAAACTTTGTACCCATTACCTGTATGTGAGTTTGTTTTTCCTCCACTTTGGCGTGCCGGGAAAGGTAGAGAAGCCACCAACGTCAGGAACGCCACACCTGGGCTTGTGCATCACCTCCACGGTGCTGGAGTCCAGCTTCCCCGTCACCTTCAACCCCAGGAACTTCTGCATTTCTTGGATTTTTTT